CCCCCCCCCCAACTTCTTTGGGTCAAACTGTAAAAACTAAAGAAAGAGGCTTGTTGTGCATTATATTGGAATCTTAACGGATGAAAAACTGCAAATATCGCGTCTCAATTAATTTTTGTTAAGGAAGTTGTCAGCTATGCATCAGTTAGTGCTGTTATAACAATAGAATTATCACGGCTTAAGGCTTTTGTTGAAAGGTAACAGAACTATTTTAATGAAAAATTCCATTGAGGTACCCTCACCTCCTTGGTTGCAATTTTTAAAGCAAAGAAATATGCTTGTGGTGTATCATATATTGGAATACTTCTGAAGGTTAAAGCGCACATACTGCGCCTCAGTCAGTATTGTTAAAGAATGCACTTGCCTCTGAGTTGTTAAAACTTATAGTTAGAGCAGTTTTAACGATAGAATTATCTAAGTTTAGGGATCATTTTATTTCTTTTGCTGAATTCTTCATCCAATTTTTGTCATTTACAGCACCTTTGGTCTTTGGAATCACGGAAAAGAAGGAGTGAGGGTGGAAAAGAAGCTCAAAACTGAGTTTTTCATGGGATTTTCTCCTTTTTTTTAAGTTTAGAAAAAGGAACATAAACGAGAGAAGGGTGTACCTGAAGATGCAAAAAAATAATCTTTGTTTGACTAAAGTTAATTTCCTTTCTTTTTGTTTTTGGAAGAAATTATAAATAAGCTGAATAGGTGGGGCAGTAGCGGTAACACCTGAAGGATAACAATTACCCTGTCATTGTTGTAAACAAATTTTTTTTTGTCATTAAAGACTCGACCAGTTTTTTTTGTCTCAATTATTAAAAATAAATTTTTAAAGTTGTCAAGGAACCGCTTATGGTACTATAGAATGTAGCAGTCCACCAGCTGGTCGAACGCGAAGGAAATATTACTTCATTTTTAATTTTTAGGGGGGTGCTTTGAAATTACATGCTGAAATAACATCTTTGGTATACGGATAGATGAAACTTAGCGGTTAAACGTCTACGTATGTACGAAGATTGTAAGGGTTTGGTGGCATGCTTTCAGGCTGTCAGAACCAAATTTGTCTCACACGAGTTACCAACACCCACACAAGCCAATCAGTCGCAGTGTTTTAGAAGCGTAGAACCTTTTCGTTAAAGCTAAAGAAAGAAAGACAGGATACCCGTGCGTGAATCTTTGCGTCTGAAAGGTCTCGAGTTTTCCTTTCCCTACCTTTTTTTTTTCCCTTTTCAGATTTCTTTGAACGTTTCAATTTCTCTCGCATATTTTGCGAGACAGCGGTTGTTTCTTATGTTTTCTTCTCAATTTTCGGGTAGGAAATCGGAGCGCGGGGGCCAAAGCTAATCCCTTCGCGAATGCCCTGCATTTGCCCGCTGTGTTGACTACATTCACGTTCATGCTTTAGCCATTAGCTTCAGCGATTTTTAATCCATTCTTTAGTGTGCATTCGTTGAGTGCAACATAGAATATTACTAAATCATCATCTTAACGGTCTAAATCGGTCTAAATCGTCATCTTAACGGTCTCATGCCAGCTACGCTTCGTAACTTGTTCAGTCTGACAGACCGGCCAGTTTTTGACCGCTCCGGCATTTTTCTTGACGAGTTATATAACTCGTCCAAAAACAGTAGAATTTCAAGAGTTGGGCAATTATCTCAGTTTATTTTTGTGACTCTATAATTTTCTTATGTAAATACAACGAAGCTCTCTCCGTTAGAAATACTAAACAGTCACAACCGGTATTATGTTTCTTGATGCCTTTCATCAAAACAACTGAAAAAGAATGAATGATTTACGTTAATAGATATTTGGATTAATGAGTGAATGAGTGAACGAGTGAATGAGTGAACGAGTGAATGAGTGAACGAGTGA